GCATTGAAGCAGTCATTCATGCAAAAGGATTCCCGACCAAGTATTGAGTGCATAACTGAACATGATTATTTGAAGGTTGGTGTTTTTTGTATTAAAAACACTTGTCTTTCATTGGTGGGATGAAATATGCTAATTTTTTGGGACAGGCATTTTGGGTTTTCATGAGCTGTATGCCATAATCATCCGTATTAAAACAATTAAAGACCTGAAATATTTCAGTTGGTGTGCAATGAATCTGAAATATATGAAAGTTTCTTTTTTATCATTACATTATGGAAAATAATGACCTTTATCACAATATGCTAATTTTTGAGAAGGACCTGTAATTGTTAAAATTGAATAGTTTTCATTTTATATTAATTCTATCTCTTAACATGTGATTCTTGACCTGCCATTGTGTATCTGTTCCCCCTTCCTGTTCCTCTCAAACCCAGCCGATCGAAGCAGATGGCCCTCTTGTCCTGAGCTGGTTCTGCTAAAAGTTTCTTCCTCATGAGGGAGTTTTTCTTTCCACTGTCGCCTTCATGCTTCAAGATGAGAGTTCTGTGATGGAGTTAAACTCAAAGCAGTCTGCTCCTCAGATAAATAATGTTCAATTATTATTTTTATATATATGAATGGTGGTCGCCGGTGCCCATGTCCAGCAATCACTGTGCGAGGGGCGGGGTACACCCTGGACGGGTCGCAAGTCCATCACAGGGCCACATAGAGACAAACGAGACAAACAACCATTCACTCTCTCACTCACACCTAGGGACAATTTAGAGTTACCAATCAGCCTAACATGCATGTTTTTGGTCTGTGGGAGGAAACCGGAGCACCCGGAGAAAACCCACGCATGCACGGAGAGAACATGCGAACTCCACCCAGAAAGGCCCCTGGACCGGGGTTTGAACCAAGGACCTTCTCGCTGAGAGGCAGCAGCTCTACCAGTTGCGCCACCGTGCTGCCCGGAGGTTAAACCAATGAAATATAAATTAAATATTAAGTTAAAATGAATTTGATCAGGGGGTTGTCCATGCATTGCTGGGCAAGGCAGGTCTTGCAGCCACATTGTACTGTGGAAGGTAAATGCTGAGAATTGTTATATTTTTATTAATTGCATTTTGTGGTAAGTCACTTGCAGTTTCTGTGTCGGACAAATTGTGACATCAGATGCTTAGATGGGAAATATATCTCATTCTTCCTAATAGGCAAAGTGGATATTACCTCCAGGTGGACAAATACTGTAACAGTCTATGAACTGATGTGAAGAGTAGTTGTAAAACTTCATTAAAACAAACTGTAAGACACATTTTACATTTAATTAAAACAAACCGTGAGTGTCCCAATGATCCTAGGAGCTATGCTGTCAGGGGCTTTATGCCCCTAGTATGGTCACCCATGGCAGACAGGTCCTAGGTGAGGGACCAGACAAAGTGCAGCCCAAAGACCCCGATGATGACACAAATAAATGGACCTAGTGTTCCCTTGCCCGGACGTGGGTCACCGGGGCCCCACTCTGGAGCCAGGCCTGGAGGTGGGGCACGCGGGTGAGTGCCTGGTGGCCGGGCTTTTACCCATGGAGCTCAGCCGGGCACAGCCCGAAGAGGAGACGTGGGTCCCCCTTCCCATGGGCTCACCACCTGTGGGAGGGGCCAAAGGGGTCGGGTGCAATGTGGGATGGGTGGTGGCCGAGGGCGGGGACCCTGGCGGTCTGATCCTCGGCTACAGAAGCTGGCTATTGGGACGTGGAATGTCACCTCACTGGTGGGGAAGGAGCCTGAGCTGGTGTGTGAGGCTGAGAGGTTCCGGCTAGAAATAGTCGGACTCACCTCTACGCATGGCTCGGGCTCTGGAACCAGTTTCCTTGAGAGGGGCTGGACACTCTTCCACTCTGGAGTTGCCCCTGGTGAGAGGTGCTGAGCAGGCGTGGGCGTACTTATTGCCCCCCAACTTGGTGCCTATGTGTTGGGGTTCACCCCAGTGAATGAGAGGGTGGCCTCCCTCCGTCTACGTGTGGGGGGACGGGTTCTGACTGTCATTTGTGCTTATGCACCAAACGGCAGTTCAGATTATCCACCCTTTCTGGAGTCCTTGGAGGGGGTACTGGAAAGTGCACCTTCTGGGGACTCCCTTGTTCTGCTGGGGGACTTCGATGCTCATGTAGGCAATGACAGTGAGACCTGGAGGGGTGTGGTTGGGAGGAACGGCCCCCCTGTTCTGAACCAGAGTGGTGTTCTGTTGTTAGACTTCTGTGCTCGTCATGGATTGTCAATAACGAACACCTTGTTCAAGCATAAGGGTGTCCATATGTGCTCTTGGCACCAGGACACCCTAGGCCGCAGTTCGATGATCGACTTTGTCATCGTCTCATCTGATCTTCGGCCACATGTCTTGGACACTCGTGTGAAAAGAGGGGCGGAGCTGTCAACTGAACACTACCTGGTGGTGAGTTGGCTCCGATGGTGGGGGAGGATGCTGGTCAGACCTGGCAGACCCAAACGTATTGTGAGGGTTTGCTGGGAACGTCTGGCAGAGTCTCCTGTGAGACGGAGTTTCAACTCCCACCTCCGGGAGAACTTTGAACATGTTCCGAGGGAGGTGGGAGACATTGAGTCTGAATGGACCATGTTTCGTGCCTCTATTGTCGAGGCGGCTTACCAGAGCTGCGGCCGCAAGGTTGTCGGTGCCTGTCGTGGCGGCAACCCTCGAACCCGATGGTGGACACCGTCGGTGAGGGATACTGTCAGGCTGAAGAAGGAGTCCTATCGGGCCTTTTTGGCCTGTGGGACCCCGGAAGCAGCTGATGGGTACCGGCAGTCCAAGCGACATGCGGCTCGGGTGGTTGTTGAGGCAAAAACTCGGGCATGGGAGAAGTTCGGAGAGGCCATGGAGAATGACTTCCGCACGGCTTCGAGACGATTCTGGTCCACCATCCGGCGTCTCAGGGGGGAAAGCGGTACGCCACCAACACTGTTTATAGTGGGAGTGGTGTGCTACTGACCTCAACTCGGGATGTTGTGGGTCGGTGGGCGGAATACTTTGAAGACCTCCTCAATCCCACCAGCACGTCTTCCACTGAGGAAGCGGAGCCTGGGGACTCTGGGTCGGGCCCTCCAATCTCTGGTGCTGAGGTCACCGAGGTGGTTAAAAAGCTCCTCGGTGGCAGGGCCCCAAGGGTGGATGAGATTCGCCCAGAGTTCCTTAAGGCTCT